GTTCTGACTCGAAATAATCTGTCATGCTGTGAGTACATCCAACAGACGAGACAACCCACCCAGATGGTATCTTAGTTCAAGGGTCCAAAGACCATAACACTAGCCCGCTCTCCATTCGTCCTCTCGCCCAAACATCTCACCCCTACTTTGTTTCTCTCCATCAAGGCTATACCACGACGCTCGTCGAGGAAGGCACATCAGGACAAGGTGGAGGACCTCGACTTGGGACCTACTGCTGTGGTTCGCGAAAGGTGCCTGTGCTCGAGCATATCATGACTAATCGCAGCAAGAGGTCCTACTGCTGTACTGCCGTGCTGCGTAGGATGCGGAGAATCTTGACTTCGTATGTAGTGTAGACATGTCTCCCTCTCGCCTTACTTATATGATCTCGTGGAGAAGGCGTCTTCTACTGTAGTCACGTACATATGAAGGACACATTCCTTGTGCCTTGGCCTGCTCCCCTCGTGCTTGTTGAGTCATACCCTCTGACTGAGCCTATAGTCTAGTCGCGTAGATCCCTCTCACTGCTGTCCCTCTCTGCTCGAGAACGTATGTACACACAGTGCTGCGCCTGAGAACAGCGGCTACCACGAGGCTTGCGTTTTCATAGCCTGTGGTGAGTGTCGATTAGGTGGCTCTATAAACCACAGCAGTTTTTCACCCTCGGGAACCCTTACCAAGTCTAAGCAAGGATCACATGATGTTCGCTTCTTCGCCCCCCGTTCGCCCTGTATTTCTTTAGACAAAAACACGGCAAACAGCTTTTCTGACGGGCCAAATGGCACCTCGCACAAGATAAGCAGTCCTCGACAATTCTGGTAGCGATCGTCTTCTTCAGTGATGCCCTCGAACAGGAATTCGCGAGGGCTTCCCGTCAGTTGTAAACCGCGTTCATCAACCGCCTTACAAGATCATCACCGACGACAACAACCATGCCGATCGCTCGATCACCCCGTGCTAGCTGTGAGACGTTAGTTGTATTGTGTTTGCGGAACAAATTATATATAGGGGTCTCGACATATATGCATACAGACTAACAGACCCTTTCACGATGATTCTCGCCGAGGGAATGTGATTGTTGGGATGAGTGATGTTTGCAGGCGGAGGAGTTTCGAACGGTCTGGATATATTGTAGATGGCAATCTCGTTTTTTCTCATCTAGGCTACTTGACACTTTATTCTCGTGGCAGAAAGGGTACAACTCCGTGCGTACCAACGCCTTGTGTTCCTTGCGTCCAGGCTTGCTCTCATCGTGCTGGATGAACCGCATCGTGCTTGAGTAGAAATCCTGTCCTGGCGAATGATTGTACTACTATGTAGAATCTATCTGCCGAATTGTTTGCTTGAAAACGCAGAAGACCGAACTAAGCGTTATGTTTCCGCCCGACCACATCTGGGATGATGACGCTCGTCTACGACTCTGTGTGAGTTTTGCTTCTAGTACATATTTTGTGGTACCGAGGCGAAATCGCTCCCGGATGCAATCTTCTTCCTCGCGAGTTCATGGTGTATGTCCAGGTCGCAACTGTAATAGCCCCCTCCGTCTCTACACATTACCCATGTAAGCTTTCCGACCGCTGCTCGACTTGCTGTCCCGGATTGTCATCTTGACAGCGCCTCAGAGGAGAAGAACGCCGAAAACAGGAGATGAAGATCTTGCAAAGTCGTCTTCTGTGGTAGCAATCGCTAACAAGCAAGTTCGCAAGATGTGTGTCGAGAACGTGATCGCCCCCCGTGCAAGAGATTAATTCAACCCCAGCGAACTGCATAATTGAATCATCCCAGCTTTTTGCCCGTTTATTCTACGTAAGAAAATTGATCTTATGAGTCATATTGGTGTCTGCTGGTTGATTTGTCGTGGCTTCTGGCGCTCTTCTCCCATTCAACGACCCCCCTCCCCCGGCTTTGCAGGTGAAAACTCGTGCGGTGGTCGCTACGGTCGGGGCCATATCGTCCTTTGAAGCCCCTGCCGCGTCCACCACGATCAGGCTACTACTTCTCCTCGATAACGACATGATCAGGCTACTGCTTCTCCTCGATGACGACGCCGACAACATACATACGCGGTGACCACGCAGACGACGTTCAAGACCCGATGGGCAACGACAGCGTACATAGGCCGCAAAGGTGTCTGAGCGAACAGCCTCGGTGTGCGCGCCTCCCCACCATCGAGCGTCAAGCTTGGTATCCACGGCTATCTCTCCACAGCCAATGACGTTCACAATGATTATTTTGTCAACCTTGCTCATGGCCAGCTTATCGCCATGAACGTCATCGGCCGCGTCGAGACCGTCGTGGGCACCAAGCTTGATGTGCGACGGTGGCGAGGGAGGAAGCGCGTACACCAAGGCTGCTCGCTTGGACGTAATTGCGGCCCACCTTGTCGTCATCCATCTGGTTTTGATGGCCATCCGTGTTGTCATTACGTTTGGTGTCGATGTCGTCATCGAGGGACAGCAGCGGCGTCTGGTCGTGGCGAACACCGCAAGGTGAGCAGGGTGTACAGCAGCCCCGTAGTTCGTTGCACTTGGGCCGGGCGGCGCTGTCCGTTGCTAACCAATCTTGCTTGTATTGACGCGCACTTTTGCCTGACATGTCGAACAAGCCGCCCGCCGGCATGTCGCTCGCATTCCGGGTCTCAATGGTCGTCCGCAGACTGCCGATGGTGTTGATGGCAATCCTCCAGCCGGCCTTGATCATGGTTGATGGGTTGGCGTTCGAACACCTAGACGCTGCCCATGACAAAGGATGACAGGAGGATTGCCGTGAACGTCATCGGCCGTCTGAGGACCGCCATCGAGATCAGGGATGGATGCGTACGACTTCCTGGCGGCGGGCTTGTTGGACATGTCGGGGAAGTGCGCCGCAACGAAGGCAACGTTGGCCAGCAACACCCAGCGCTGCCCGGCCGAAGTGGAGCGAATCTCCAAGCTGCTGTCCGCCCTGCTCTCCATGTCGGCGAATATCAAGAGGGTCACCCGGTGAGTTGCATGTTCATGTGTTGGCTTGGTCGACCGCCACTCGTAGAATGGGAGTACAACCATGTTGTATTGCTGGAGGAACGTGTACTTGTGAAGAATGCATTGAAGGGTGTGTCAAGCGCACGTACTTTCCGTTCTATACCCATGGCAAGAATCGTGGCATTGGCGATTTCGCCACGATTCTTCCAATGTGTTTCCCAACTTGGGTGCTGTGGTGCGCCCTATCATGAGATGCTGTAGTGCTTCCTCCCATCTCCCAAGAACTCGACCCTACACTTCGATCAGGGACACCCCGTCTCGACGATGTTGTTTCGGTACCGAATGCAAGCACCTGTCCTGCTGCCATCCGTGTTTCCCCCTCCAAACGCCTCCAGGAACTCCAAGGGGTGTGTTGCTCCCGTGCACCAGAGAGCTGTTAAGCCCTATCTCCCCGAGTCCTACCAGGTGTCACGAACGCGGTTAGTATGGACTCAACGCATCTCGTTCTTGAAGCTTATTCGTTTTTCAAGGAGGCGTTGCGTCGAGTCCACTTCCATCGGGTTTTCAACGGGAAGGAAAGCCCGTTGCGGCTCGACGAGGTGGATCCAAAGAGATCCATGGCCTCCCTGTGATCCCTGGGAGAGACTCACTCGTTCGGATTCCGGTAGGCGCGCGGAGGAGGATACACGGATAACTCGTCCTGTGCGGGAATGCATCCGTTGTTGGTTGTGCTCACGGTACACAGGGGGTTGGTGTTGAAAGTACCGTTGTCTGCTTCGACCCCCCCCCCCGCTACCATTTGACCCCGCCCCCAATGAACTGGGTTGAGAGCAGGGAAAATGCAAGTACCTGACTGTTTCGACGGGCCATTCGACTAAGAATGACCCCCGCCCCCCTGTTGTAGCTATTTGATACTTGTATGTTTTGAACTTGAGATCCTGCCTGAGGATTTTAGTGTCCGCCACGACAAGGCTATTGGTGCCCCTTGATGAGGACACGGACAACAGTTGCGGCATCACGGATAACATTCAAGACCGGATGGACGACGACTAGGTCACCACGATATTGTCCGGGCGACCAGTCGCGATGTGCGTTCCTCTCCTCCAGACACGGTTGGTTGAACATTCAGCTTCGTGTCCATGGTGATCTTGACGCGCCTGACACGCTCGCCGGCGACGCTCTGGTCAGCCTTGCCCATGGGCAGCAGCAAGCATGCCATGAACGTAGTCGGTCGCTTCGAGACAGCCATGGACACCAAGGAGCCTTGATGTTCGATTGTGGCGAGGGGGGGAGGTGCACACACCGAGGCTATCGGTCAGACACCATTGCGACGGCCTTGTTGTCGTCCATCGGGTTTTGATTGCCATCCGTGAAAATACCGCTGTGGTACTCGGAGTCGTCATCGAGGGACAGCAGCAGCCTGGTCGTGGCGGGCCCCGCAAGGTGAATGGGGTGGACAGCAGCTCCGTAGTTAAATGCACTTCGGCCGGGCAGCGCTTGGTGTTGCTGGTGCATCTTGCTTTTATTGCCGCTCGCTTTGCCTGACATGTCGAACAAGCCGCCCCCGCCGGCAAGTTACTCGCGTCTGTCTCCGGTGTGTAGTGTGTATGGCGACCGTCAGACGGCCCACGATGCTGATTGCAATGTTCCAACCAAGCTTGACCATTGGTGTTGGCTTCGTGTTCGGCGACTGCGCACACGCCGTCGCCACGATCGAACACCAAGCCGTTGCTCATGATCAAGGTCGGTTAGGAGGTCGCCATCAACGTCGTCGTGCGTCCGAGGACTATCATAAACACCAGGGACGCGTTTTGCGACCTCCCGGCGCTCGGCATGTTTGACATGTCCGGGAAGTGCGCGACGATGAAGGCGTCGTTGATCAGCAACAGCAAGCGCTATCCGGCCGAAGTGGACGCGAACCGCCGAGCTGCTGTCTGCCCCGTTCTCCATGTGGACGAACATACAGAGGGTCATCGGGTGGGTGATGTTGTTGGGTAGCGGGTGCTTATCGTGAGAGCTTGCGTAGAAAAAGTTGACTCACCTTGAAATTAAAGAGTGCACTCAACTGTAGACGCAACGTCAAGACGGGGGGCAGCGTACTTGGTTTGAGGGATGATTTGTGACATATTAATCCTTAGCCGGCACGTTGGGACACCCGTGACCACCCGTGACCAATGCCCACCCCCCGTCACGCCTGTGTCAGTAAGACGAAGATTCTGATGGTTACATAGACTACAGCCGTAGCGTTCAACTTTCGGTTTGTTCTCGATGCTCTTCGGCCGTTTCACTTTGCACTTGGCGGATAACCTGGCAATCCTTGCTTGCAATGTCTTGCTAGTGGTGACTTCGGGCCGGAAGATCGCGCTCGGTCCGGAGAATGGCGGCGATCTTGTCGCCCGAACGCAAGCGTCTGGCCCGAAGTCACCACTAGCAAGACATTGCAAGCACGGACCGAGAAGTTGACCACATCCTGTTGCAACCTGAAGGGCGAGACCAGCTCGCAGCAACGACGACGGCACCAGAAGGATAACCAGCTGACATTGTCCCTGCCCCTCCTCCCTGACAAGAGGAAACCGATCGAGAAAGGCCTCCTTTACCTCGTCTTCTCGCCACTACGACCTTACTCCGAACTGCAACGGCAATGAGTGGCAGCGGCCGCACCGCGGAACAAACACGATCTATGCAGCATCTAGGAAATCATCATTGACACGAGAACAAGAGTCAGAAAAGGCGCTTGTGTGTGTGTGCGGTATCTGACGGTGCTGGTGTGTGAGGGGGTATGTGCTGCCGTTTGCGCTAGTGAGTAGCTTCGTGCCCGAATGCTTGTTGTTCGTTCTGGACTTTCACATAACGACACGTGTCAATGCCTTTCGACCAAAAACACCAATCTTTCCTCCCTGGGGACTAGGTGCGTCCGACTTTCGCTTACTTTATTCTACCCATGCATCAGCGCCGCCAACAAGCGGGGCCACGAAGTTTGCCATCATATCGCGTCGCGTCTTGGGAGTATAGACTATAGCTGAACCGCAGGATGTACTCAAAAGCACGCCTCTCTATCTACCTTTCGTTGTGCCCCGTGACGATGCAAGGTGGGCGCTGTATCATATTAGTACCGCCTTGTGCTTGACGTTTGCACGGGGGTACGGTCATTTTCCTACACTACCCCCAGTTTCTCCAACGACGGGGAGGGTTCCGAAGGCGAACCAATACAAAAGGTGCCGAAAATGGGTACTTAAATCGACCTCTCTCTAATGAAACAGGTTGTCCCCGCTGGAACATCGGCAAGATAACACAAAATCAAAGATCAAATCCTGACGGCAAGTTTTCGGCGACATCGACTTTTATAGGTGTGTGGTTGCCGTCTTCACCCTGCGTGGCACGGACTTTGACCCCGCGCCTTTTCTCGAAGAGCTGACCTACAGGCACACGCCAAGGTTTCATCGCTGTGGTACGTAAGAGAGACACGTGTGTGTTGCATCGATCTGGCGCCATACGCCCGATCAACTGCTGTGCAAGCATGATCGGTGGCTCAGCGTCGTTTGTGCCGAAAAATAACTGCTTGCAAACAGATCGTTCTCCGAAAATGCACACTTTTAGGTGTGGTCGTAGAACGACGAGGAGGCGGCGAAACATCAAGTCCCGCGCGCAAGCAGAAACGACGAGAGGCGCTGAAAGAGGCGCGACAAAACACAGGCATGTTCGAGGATAAGAAACATCTCCGTAGTTTCCCACGAAGCTGAAGGCTGCATGTCCACAGCAACCTCCCCGCCGCCCTTGGGGACAGATCGAAACGAAAAAACTGCAAGACCAAAGGGTATACACTTGGCACGCACACGTACAACAAGTCTGAGATGGACGTTTGGGGGGGTGGGTGTACTCATAGTCGTGCATGCCGTAGTCATTATACGATTGAACTCGCATCCCTACAAAGCCGGGACGGAGCACGCCGGGTTCTCACCGGACCAGGCTCTCACATCACCAAGCGCGAAGCGCCGTGAGGTATTCGGCGAGTCGCATGAAGGGTGCGCTGCATCCTGCTAACGGTGTTCGGCATCTTAAGCTTGCTTGCTACGAATGACAGGTGCGCATGACTTAATTTATTTTCTGGTGCAATTCCAGCGACAGTTATAAGCACTGTGTAACTGCCTCGAGGATGTGGGGACGCGCAAAACAATCACCCCGATTGAAGGGAAAACAACGCCGAGGTAGCTGGAAGCTAGAACCGGATAACACTATTAACCTGCTCGCAACTGCTGCATACCTCATGGCACTATACAGAAGGGCGATGGTGACACCCCCTGTTGTAAGTTGTCTCAACACCACACCAAACCCAGGTGCGACAAGGACTCTCCTAAACACTACGCGCGCCGTGCCCTGGCGCGGCGAGCCTGCCGTTCGCAAAAAGCGGATCAATCAATCATTCCCGAGTTTAAACCTTCAAAATTGTTCCTACTGACCGAACGCTTTTCGCACGCAATGGGCATGCGTATTTCGTGTGCTTGTGGAGAGTCCCGCGCTTTTTTCTCTTCGCCACCACAACCAACTGATCACCGCGCTCGAACGCGCAGCACTTTAGGCCAGCCCAGTCCCTTCTCCCGACAGAAAATGTGGAACAGGGTACGAGTACCTCAGACACTCATATACGACCTACAATGTTCTACAGCCCAAAACGGCGAACTACCACCAAAAGACAACAACAATCGGGGCATGGCAAACTATCACACGCGAACAACTACAGCGCGTAGCGTGCTTCTTTCACCACTTGACAAAATCAAAAAACTAGCAGACATGCGAGAGTGAAGACGCTGACAAGCCCCAAATACACATATAAATTTCCAGATATAAACGAAAGCGCCTCTTGTCCAAAATCAAACGCGACTTGTACGTAGCACAAGGTCTTGACCTACGCAGAATCGGAGAAACACCGGGTCTGCGAGAAGCAGGCAGAGTTTGCTCAGTGGCCGCCACAATTTACACCGTCCCACAAGCGGCCCGCTTGGTCGGCCCGACCACATCCGGGCCGAATCGTCACAAAAACATCGTCGCAATACTGTAGCCTACAAAAATGACAGCACCAGGTCATGTGAAGGCTGTGTCTGTTTGTGGCCACGGACAACATACCCCACCAAACCACCTTCCCCAACCTCTTGCGCCGCCGTCCTGGTCTCGAGCATCACACTCCCGTACGCAGCTCTCCCTTGAAAAACGCTGTCCTTCCACCCATCCCCTAGAGGCGAGAAAGCCTTTTCCACCCACTTTTTCGGCCACACACCCCCATGCGGCGAGAACGAAAAGCCCCCTCAACCAACCCGTGCATAATTGATCAAACCTCGTCTTCCTTCTGCTGATTGCTGTCGACGGTTTCCATGCACCTTGTATATTTCATTCACACTTTTACATCCCGACCATGCCGTCGGGCCCTCCCATTCCGGTGCCATCGCCCTCGCCGCTGCCCTCCAGCTCCATGGCCTCGATGTGCGGAATGAGAGCTTGCCATGCCTCCTCCTGCTTCTTCGTCGCTTCCACCTGCCTCAGTCAGTTAGGCAAACAACGCCACGCACATGGCGACCCGTCAGACATGATGCATCGGAACGGGGGAGGGGGGGGGAGGGCACGTGAGTCACCATGGTTGGTGGCAGTTTGTTCGGCGCCTGGCCTCTCTAGTCAGTAAAGTGTCGATGAATTTGTGGTCCTCGTTGCTGGTAACGAGAAAACAAATAAAGCCACTGTCGCGGAACGTTGGTCATCTTTTCGTATCCCATGTTTGAAGTAACACAGACCGCGAGCCTCATTGTTTCTGGATAATCAGCCGGTCCATGACATGATACGTCATCGGATATGCGCTACGACACATTACGTAAAACAAACAACAACAAAAAACATGATTCGAGACTTCCTGACGTTCTCACCTGCACGTTAACGTAGTCGAGGATGATCTTCTTCATGTCCGCCGCCTTGTCCCTCCGGAACCGCGCAAACTCCCGAACGACCCGGTCGGAGACCTCCTCGTACTGCCTGCGGGCCTTCTCGAGGGCCGTTGTTGACGCGGCCACCGCGTCCTCCGCCGCTGCCACCCGGTCCTACAATACAAACGGCAGGGGCTTGTGTGTGTTTTCTCTTTAGCGAAGCGGGCATGCAGAGGCAGAGGCGCGCCATCACATTTGTCGGTAAAGAGACCCCCATGGCCAGGTATGGGCGTCGGAGAGGGGGGAGCAAAGAGAAGGACCCCTTTGTGCACATTAATTGTAAAACAGCCGGGAAATTTGTGGGGCAGCCATGGTGGATGGAAGCGTTGTTAGTCCTCGCTATTTAAAGCATTTTCGGCGGTGTACTGGGATTGGTTGACAAGAAGCACCGTTTGCTTTCTCTTACAGCAAGGGAAGCGGGGAGCTAAGCTATTTGGTGTGACAAAAGCCCCCGAGAGAACGAAGCTTCAGCTACGGCAGGGTCCACATCTCTGAGCCATGACAGCGACACTTCAGTAGCGACGCCGCCCTTTCCGCCATGACCTCTTCGGTGAGGTAAATCCCCTCTCGTCCGGCGGTAACCACCGAGACTCCTCTTCCCTACACAAAAGACACTCCGTGTGGACGAGGGTTCCAACACATGCCGACTGTGGTTACATCTCCAACGGGATAAGTCTGTGATTGAACGCGTATTTTCTAAAAAAACACCCCCGCGCGGCCTCCACCCTCCCCCCCCTCTCTGTCTCACCTGGCGGTCCCCCCCCAACCCCGCCACCTTGCTGTGGTGCGCCTTCTTCGCCTCGAGGTCGTGAGCCGCCGTCATGTAGGTGATCTTCTTTTCGTTGCGCTTGTGCAGGGCCGTCTTGAGTGCCGTCGTCATGCGCCCATACTCCAACACGGGGCCCTCGAAGTGCTCCGCCTCCTGCTGCGCCTGCTTCTTCACCTGGACGGACACCTGCGCATGCGGACGCGTGCGTGGCGTGCGAGTTGGGGGGGGGGGGGGGGGGGGGGNGGGGGGGGGGGGGGGGGGGGGGGGGGGGGGGGGGGGGGGGGAGGGAGGGAAGGGGGAAGGGGGACAAAAAAAAAACACGAAATCGTCATCAACGAAATTTAGGTGTATCGGCTGTCTGGGAGCACTCCCAACAAGACCTGAAAGAGGTAAGACCCGGCAACGACGCACACGGGGCAGGCACACGCGGTGAAAGTGTACCACTACGGTACACGTTGTGTACCACGGAACATGGAATGGGCGCGTCATTTTGTGCTCTGTTTGAAGCCGTCAGCTTTTGAGGGTCATGCAAAGCCACCTTGCAGAGATGCACGACCAACTTTGTGGATTGCTGTCGCAAAAATCAAAAGCGAAAATAGCCGATACCCATACCCATACGACAGCAACAGTTGGAAAAAACAACCGCAGGCGACAGGCAGCACACCCCGGCTCGTGGCCACATGGCAGCAAGAGACACACTCCAACAACTCCAAGAAGAGTTAACTCCAAGCACACAAACTAGCATCTTGGCCTGCCGGACTCCTGTATGTGCGGCATGTCGGGCGGTGCATTTGGGGTTGCTGTGTCGGTAGCATACAAGAAGCGCACCTCGTCCGCAGCGTGTGCGAGCTGCAGCAGCGCCTGCCCAAGGGGCGCCTTGTCCTCTTCTGCCTGGTCGATCGAACACGTTCACCAGCCGTACCGACGGTCAGCAGCAGGAGTAGCCGCACCCGCACCCGTTTGTTCGACAAAAAAACAAGAGAGTGGGGCCGGGGTGTACGGGAGTGGTGAACTCGATGAAAGGGGAATGGAAAGAGGGAAGGGGGATACGTCGAAGGGCGGGGGGGGGG